ACGAGATTATTTTTACATTAAATATGAGTATTAATTTGTTTAACTGTATGCTAAGTTGTAATTATATATTTACAAGCTGGAGTATAATTGATTTTCAAATTATCATGACAATTTCATTTAGTAAAAACATGATAGTTTATTCAAGTGGTTGTTTGGTTAAAAAACTCTACGAGTAGTCTTGTTTCATTTTCAGATAAATTATATAAATGCGTATTTAAATAACTTTACTAAAACTAATTGCAAAAAAAAAGATATGTTGATATTTTTGATGCGACCGCTAAAAGTGGGGAGGAACTTTGTCCTTGGGTTCCTTTCAGCCGTTTTTTATTTTTAAACAAATTCCATTCCACGCAAAACCAGGTATTACAAAAAAAATATCGAAGGAATTGAAAAATATAGGATAATAAACATTTTTCGGTCATATTTCGACTAATATTGTTTTTTTTTTAATTTCCCCAGTGTCGAGAAAACATGCCTTAAATTTGAGCTTAATTTTGTGCACGTAGCGCGAGTAGGTCGTATCAGAAAAACGTTCTTTTACGTATTCAAAAACAAAAAATACATCAAAAAAGTTTTTTTGCTAGTTTCATTTGGCGCTCTTTACTAGAAAAAAAACTTTAAAAAAAATAAAATAATAACAATTTCCGTAAAATCTTTTCAAAAATTTTAGAAAAAGTTTTCAGAATTAACTTTTTTCAACTTTTTTTTCTTTATCACTTTTCGAGAACAAATGTGGTCAAAGATGCCTAATTCGCAATACTTTTACGCGTTTGTATTGCTTTTCTGACATACCATGCACAAAAACTACACTTTTTTAAAAAGAAAATGAAACCTTGTGGTCGGAACATTCTGTGCTACTTGCACAGCAACCAGCTACTATAGTTTCAGTCAAATCTCTAGTTGCACTTGTTAACATGATTTTTCAATCTATTGGTGTTACTGTTCGATTTGTCTTCTATCTGTTCAAGCAAAGAAATCAGTTTACAGCGTTCAACATATGAAACACAAACCAAACATAAGAAACCAAAATTATGATAAGAGATTATAATTTCCGAGTTTTCAGATTTGTTCAATTTATTTTTTAGCTTAGCGTTTCTCCAAAACTAACCCAAGTCTCGGACTAACAGTCATGTTTTGAAAATTAACAGAAGGAATAAATTCTATTAATTTTTCGAAAACTTGAAATCATTTGCGAGTCATAGGATTCCGTATCAATTTAGGGTAGATATCTTTCATAAAAATTACATTAGGCACCTCATTCCATGCTATATGCTATGCTGTAAACTTTTTACCACAGATCTCCAGGCCTACAAGAATTATTTATTATTTTCACATTTCGCAAAAGCATTGGCATTCATAAGCTTAGATGATTGAACTACTATTTTGAATTCAGTTTTCACAGTTTTTATCTGGAATAAATAGAAAAAAATTATTGATGCGTATTTCTTTCTGTTGGATCAGTGGAATTGCATTTACTAGGAATTCCTCAGTTTTGCCACCTTTTCGTTTTTTTATTTAAGGTAGCTAAAAGTAAATAAAATTTAGCCTCATTCAAATTAGTCATTCAATAAGCCCTTAAAAAAATGCCTAGACAATTTATGTAGAAAAAAAACTAATCTGGGCAAGTTTTACGCAACAACTTTGTAACGAAAACAGAAATAACTTTTCAAAAAGATTTAGAGCAAGAGAAAACTAGTAATGGACCTTTTATTGTGCATCAGAGCAGAACAAAACAAGAGAAATAGCTTAGAAAAAGAACTTGAATTGTCACTACTACAATAATAATCTTTTCTGTGTCAAAAATTTCAGCAAAATTGTATCAAAAGAAATAAAAACAGGTTCACGAAGACTCGGCAAAGAATCACATGTGAATCTTCAGCGAAAGCATATGTGATCGATTGTTTTCAGCACGGGAGGTCCATCAAACCGATTTTTTGACAAAACTGAGACAAGTGATAGAAAAACTGCGAGGTTCTAAATTAGTCAGAGTTTGATAGAAACAAGAGATCATTTTCACAATGAAGACATAAGTTCACTAATTATACGAAAAAAAAATTTTACTCAACAAAGATGAAATTTTCTTAAAATTAAAGCGATGAAATTGCAGTCATTTTGCAATCAACAGGAATTATTTGCAAGTCATCGAATTCCAGAACAATGTAGGCATGCATTCCAAAACAATGTATTTTAAAATTAAACATGATAATACATTCCACTTCTAAAAAAAAACAAAAAAACTGCCGGAAAACAACTAACGTGAATTATTCATTGCCATTCGTTTGCCAACTAAATGTTCCAAGTTTTGTACGCTTGAAAAAAATATTTAGAGCTGAGCTATCTTTTAACCGGAGATGGGCCATTACAGAAAAAAAACTGAAGTGAGGTCTAAATTGGTCCCCATTTTCGTCTTTGTTCCATGGAGATTGCTGACTGGGTCCAATTTTCAGGAAAACGATTAAATTAATGAGCTCAATTTTTAGCAAATTGGCACCAAATTTTGGTTCCCATTTTCTCATCGTGGGGTTGAATTAGCCTGATTTTTCTAAATAAGGGCTGAATGGGCCCACATTTTAGCAAATTCGGCTAATTCAGTTTCCTAATTTTAGTTTAAATCGAACAAAACAAACAGTAACTCTCAGAATTGGTAAATTCGAGGTAGTTCAGAGAGGTCTTAGGTTCTCAGTGAGCCGGTTTGAGTCCCTCGAGGAAATTGTTCGTGCACAAAAGGAGCTGAATAAGCCTTATTTTTGGATCCTCATTTGCCATAGAAGAGGATGACTGAGCCCAATTTTCTGAACACTGGGCTCCAAATTAGGCGCCATGGGGTCCACTTTTTCCGTAATAATTAAGAGACCAATCGCACAAACATTTGGGCACATGAGGCCACTTAGCAAAACTTAAAAGATCAATTTCAAAAAAAGTTAAGCTGGTCAAATTTCAAACGAAAAAAAAACTTTAAATAATTTTGCCTCAAAAGTTGTCGATTAAAACTTGATTAAGTACCTTTTTGTTTTTGATTTACTTTAATCATTTGAGACTTTGCCTTTTAAATTTCTCATTCACAAGAAGACGCTAAAAATTTCAAAATCTACTTTTACTGGAGTAAAAAAAATTGTGACCAACCGTGACCGAAATGGGATTCGAACTCTCGACTCTCTTGCTGAGAGACGCTTGCCTTACTGCTCCCTCCCCACTTTCAATTGCCGGAACAAAAATACAAATATATCTTTTGTAACTTATAAAATGAATAGTTTCATCAAACTGCTAGCTCAAAACACTATAGTAAAATTTATTCCATGATTTTTATTCCTGGTTGGGCTGCTGTAGTAAAACCTTGTGGAAGTCTTGTGAACTCGCCGCTTTTCTGTGTCTGTTTTATCGAAAAATTAGTTTGATGCAACTCCCTATGCTGAAAGTCATAGATTAAACTGAATTTTCTGAAGCTTCAAAAAATACTGATACAATTTGGCCTCGTAATGCGCTTTCTTGGTATACACAAATTCTGTGAGTTGATAGACTTTTGTTTGATAGAAATTTAGACAATATAAAATTACTATTTCAATGGGGTCGAGCCGAGTCACTTTGTCTATGTTACTGTTTGTCATTTTTCCTTAGCTTTGTATTTGATTTTTTGCGCAACTCTGATGCATGAAAAAAGGACCAACTACTACTAGTTTTATATCTGGCTGTAGATCTTTTTGGAAATACATTTAAACTTTAAAATATTTTGTTTTCAGTAAGATAAAATGTTTTAGTTACAGCTTAGGGGCTTCATGTGTCTCTATATTTATGAGGGTGAAATTTATTTCAGTTTTAGCCTCCTTGAAAATAAACAAGATTGCTCGTATATCAGGGCAAAACTCTGAATGCTTTGACTGCCTTGTAATTGGTCTCGAATAGTTTTTGCTAAAAAAAAACAATATTGGAAAACTCTAAAGTTTTATCAAAACTATAGGAAATATTATAAAAATCTATTGGGAATCTGAACGGGGCTGATCTCGACCATTTTTTTAGGTCAACCACATTGATTTTCTGAGCTCTCCCAAAACACTATAAAGAACCTATTTTGACAAAATTTCTGAGCCGCCAAAAACAGCGGCTCAGAAAAAGCTTTGAAAAAGCCAAAAACATCGTCGCTCCCTAAATCCGCTACTGAACCTGAATAATCAGCTGAGGGAATTTTTATTAAGATTTCGATTCCGTTTTAAAACAAGACTGCTCGTATATCAGGGCAAAGCCCTGAATGTTCCGACAGTCCCTTATTTTATATCGAATAAATTTTGGGAAAAGAAAAAATTGAAAACCTATTAACTTTGGGCAAAATTAATGTGTAAAATTTTGAGTCGTACAAAATTAATGCGACCAATTAGCTATACTCAATTCAATTAGGAACAATTTTGTTGCGCCGAATAATTGCCACGTATAAATAACTGGCCTTACGCTCTCAGCATTATGAGGAAACTCTTTGAAGCGCGCATAATTTAGTCCAGAACATGGCAAATTTGGCAATTTTCAATTCCCTAGAATTTTGCAAAAAGTAATCGGTGAAATATCTTTTTACATTTGAATTCAGCAATTCGATATCTTTAATGGGGCATAAAATTTTTTTGTGGAAAATTATTACTTCGATCGCCGAAAATGACTGAACAAAAAACCACACCAAGTACAAACATTCCGTTTTCTTCGAAACTCGGAACTAAAAAAAACTTCCAAAACTGAAGAATTTTAAAAAATTTCCTTGCCTCCAATAAAAAGAATTATCCAACTTCAAAATTTTGTTCCGACTTTTGAAGAAAGCGAGGAATACAAAGGCTCGGGGTGGCGTTTTTTATTGAAATTATTTTATGCGTTTATATAGAAGAGTGATTCTGTAGTGAGTGAGCATCAGCATGGTTAAAAATTATAAGTGCTGAAATTTTCAGTTCGAATTTGATCAAAAAATGTATTTACTGATTTTTCATCAACCCATGTTCATCAACGAAATTGGTTTAGTATCTTACCGTCTCCAGAGTCCCCAGAATTCATTCGGCTCCAAGTCAAAGCCTTGTGAGGCAAGAGCTTCCCTGAGTTGAGGCGGTAAAATGAGTCCATTGTCTCTGAGACATGACTTTGGAAACATGTCTTCTACAGTCAAACGGCTAAAATGAAAGCAAATGGTCATTGAGGTCACTTGAGCATGGATATGGGAAGGTAGTTTTCTTACTTTTGAAAAATGGATGCTCTGATTTGCTCCACTGCGAATGGAGCTGTTGTAGATCTAAGATAACTGGGCTTAGGATAGGAATCCAAAAGAGAGCTCTCCTTTGGCGCGTGGAATCTAGGGTCTTGTAACATTTTGCGAGTTGCGGGGCTGACGTAAACATCTTTGATTACCTGAACATATCAGCTTTTAATTTTATTTCTGGGCAGCTTCAAAATGGAATGACTTGGATTTTTGAAAATCAAAATAAAACAAGGATAGCCGGTTGCTGTGCAAGAGCAAAGAATGTTCCGACCAGATTCGTAAAAACCTACAAATTTTTTGTTTAATGTTCAAATTAGCGTCGTTGGTGCGTGGTGTGATTTTAGAACTATACAAACGCGTAGAAAGTTAGTGAATTAGACATAAAATACAACAATTGTATTATTTTATTACAAAATACAACAATTGTAATATTTTAATGTAATATTTTAACAAAAAAAAACGAAAAAAAAGTATAGTTTTCCTAATTTTTTGCACTAAAAATTTCAAATTTGTATGATAATTTTTAAGGCCACAAAACGTTTAATGAAGCTTCCAGAAATGGTTTCCTTTTTTTTAGAAAAACCGAGTTTTTTAACCTAAATGGCCAACTACTACTACTACTAATACCACTACTAATGCGTTTATTGTCCGTTTTCCCATTGTGGCGGGGTTGGACACCCGGAAAGCGCGTAATTAATAGTTTACGTGAGGGCATTCTGAATAGCATTCAAGCTATTTAATGGAGGACAACATGTTTTCCATGCCACTCGATCAAGGCACTCTGTGGACTTGAGGCCTAAAGTATTTAGGTCTCGTTTAACGAAATCGGTTCAGCGGTTTTAGGCCTTCCTGATGGTCTTTTCCCTGAGACTGAAAAATGGTCTGCTCATTTTAGCGCATGGTCATTTTCTCTTTGGTGAACATGGCCATATTATCGTAGCCGCGACCGCACTTGTAGCTTGTCCGGACCAACAAGACCTGTCATTTCAATTAAGCTGGGTATTGCTTTGGTCTGCGCCCAGATTCCAGAGCAGTACATCGGAACTCGCCGTAGACAAGCTCTACAAGTGTAACACTTTGTAATAAGATCAATAACTTTATTCAGCAGGAAAAGCGCAATTTGCCGCCATTTTGTCCAGAAAACTGCTAACTGACCAATGATGCACGTATTGCGTCACTTCCAACGGAAACCATATCACCCAGATAGCAGAACTCTTTCACAGTATGACAGTATGCAGGGTTTCAAATGGATTAATCAGTGACATTCGTACAGTGACATTCTGTTTTGAGTGATAATTGGAAGCATTATTACATCTTGGACAAACATAATTAGTATTATGTTTAGGTATTTTCCTCACGTCACTGCAATTGTTATGCACCTATTGATTACGAGATTTGCAGCGTATTGATTTTTTATTGCGTGTTTCTGTAATCAGATGTGTTCTCAGTAGGATTCACATTCTATCGAATCGCTTTTGCCTTTGTAAAAAGTAGTAATTTCACTTTAACTGTAGTTTGGGGGATTAGATTAGAGTCCCGGACTTCCTTCAGGACTTCGAAAAATCCAGCAAAACCACAATCCTTGGCAAATTTTACCATATCCGAAGTTGGGCCCTGTTGGGCTTTTTTTCATCTCTCTCAGTCCAAGTATCACATTCTGGATAATAAATTTCTCCAATTGCCCAGCCACTGGGAGAATATCTTCAATTTGAACGGATTTGTTCCATTTAAAAGTTCTGAGAGGTAGCTTTCCCTCTGCGAGTGAACATTTTGGTCACAAGAAAGGCGTTTTCCGTCACATTTAATCAATTTTACTCCAACCAGGTCCTTTCGATCATTTTTTATTTTCTTGGCAAGGTGGAAAATTTTATGCCGTGTCTCCGTTTTCTAGAGATCTTGATTTTTTAGCTTTAGCAACTAGGTACTTCACAACTGCTCTGCCTCCGATATATCACCCTCTTCCTCAATTCCAGACCACTGTCACTTTTTGAAGCAACATCTTTTCTTTCAAACTCATTCGCCTGATTTTTTCGTTCCACCATTATTTTTTTCGGTGGTTTTTCGGTTGTTTCGTCACGTACGTTTTTCTTCTCGCCTAGAAGTGTTGATTAAAAAAATTGCTTTAGCATTCCCGTTCGTGTTAGAATCGTGTCAGGCCAACATTTATCGATAACTAACGTTACTGGGTCGCTTTAGTCGCTCGCCGGAAATTAGACTAAAACTCAAAAATTTTAAGACGGTTTTTCCAACACTGGGAAAAATTTTCGAAACTTTTTTATGTCGTTCGAATCATGACTGAAAGGGCTTCAAAATGGTATATCACTCGAATCATTCTGATGATTATCGAAGGTATCTGATTTTGCGTGGAAAACAAAAAGAAGAAAAAACAAGGTAGCCGGTTAATGTGCAATAAGCTCAAAATAATTCAACCAAGAAAAAGGAAGGTAGCCGGGAAAAAGGAAGATAGCCAAGAAAAAACAAGGTAGCCGGTTAATGTGCAATAAGCACAAAATAATTCAACGAAGAAAATAATTCAACCAAGAAAAAACAACAAGAAAAAGGATTTTTTCAAATTAGTTTTTCTGCGTGGTGCGATAAAAGGATCTTACTTTAATTTATAATTTAGGCATATTCGAAAATCGTAGTAACATAGGCAAACATGACAACTTTTTTTGGATAAAAATGTCAAGACAAACAAAAAATTATGAAAAAAAAAAAATTTTGTAATTTTTTTTGCGAAGTTTTTTTAATATTTAGATTCCCAAATTGACATAAAAAAATCTCTAAAAACTAATTTAAGTCGAGTAAAAGGAAAATTAAGTACAAATAAGCTATTATAAACGGCCTATATTCGAACTTAGATAAAAATCAAAAATTTCAAACCACGAATCATGACTTGAAGGGATTTAATATGATATATCACTCAACCCAGTCCGATGATTATTTGTGGTACCAGATTTCGCGTGGAAACTAAAAAGTACAAGAATAAAGCACACTTGAATACAAAGTTTGTCATTTTCAATAGTCGGAGCAACAAGGATGGCCGGTTACTGTGCAAATAGCACAAAAAGTTCCGACCTTGATCTTAAAAAATACAAAAACTTTTTTTCAAGTTAGTGTCGTCGTTTTCTGTGTGGTGGAAAAAAAATATCTGAACGAAAAATAAAATTAGGCATATTCGACCGTCAGAGTGAACTAGGCCGATTGCGAAACAGTTTTTAAAGGAAATTACTAAGAAAAATAAAAAATCTTAAAAAAACTCTAAAAACAAAAACTTTTTTCTAACTTTTTTGCAGAAGCTCAATTGAAAATTTTGATTCCCAAAATAACACTTAAGCTTCGAAAACGAATTTTCTCGATTAACAATAAATTTTCACTGCTCAAAATAAGCTTAAAAAAGCTATCGTAAGCCTGCAGCCTGACCTTATTAGCTCGAAATTGGACATAATTTTAAACAAATTTCAAACCAGTATTTCTCGACACCGAGAAAAATTGTTCAAAAAAATTTAAAGTAGTTCAAATTACGGCTAAAAGCGCTTCAATATGATATATAACTCGACCCATTCTGATGGTTACTAATGGCGCCTGATTTGGCGTGAAAAGCAACAAAAAAGAAAAAAAAACTAAAACACACCCGAATGCAAAGTTCCTCCCCATTGTCAAATGTCGGAACAACTAGTTCAACAGGTACAGTGAAAACATAACAGATGATTTTCGCTTTCATTCAAAAATTTTCACACCTGTTTTTCTCGAATTAAGTAGAAGTAGGCTATTGTAAAAGTCTTAAATTAAGCATAAATAAGCCTGTTCGCTGACTTTCCTCGCTCGAAGTTAGCCGAAAAATCAAAAATTCCCAACCGGTTTTTCTCGATACAAGAAGAAATTTTGGGGAATTTTTTATTGTGGTTCGAATTTCGACTGAGGGGCTTTGTTATGATAGATAACTCAACCCAGTCCGATGATTGTTTTTGGCACCTGATTTGGCGTGAAAAACAAAAAATAAAAAAAATAAAACACACCGGAATACAAAGTTCCTCCCCACTTTCAATGGTCGGAACAACAAGTTCATAATTGGTTCGACCCATGAAATTGAGACAAATCTAAGCAATGGATCTGTTTCATTTTTTTTTTTCATCTTAAATCAGGCACTATAAATGAGCGTCAAACGGGTTGAACAATCTATAGATAAAGCAAAAGGGCTCTTTTTCCTTTTCCCCCCATTGGTTATGAAGACCAAATATGTTTGTCATGGCCTAATTAGTTTGCATGTCAATTTTCATAACAATCGGTTGGTGCGAGCAGTACTTTTACTTGTATAAATTGGCAGGTGGAGGGAAAAGGAAAAAGAGCCGACTGGTGATGCAGGTATGCAGCAAACCTGGTGATCGCTGAACTTGGAAATGAAATCGTCGAAATTTATTAACTTGTTATCTGCAAAGCCAATTCTGAAATAATATGGTTCTGTTATAATCTGCCCTGATTCTCAAAATTTTGAATTCGGGAATTATAATTTCACCTGGTTAAGAAGTCATCTATTTGCTGTTTCGTGAAATACCCACACAGATGATAAACAACTTTTGAGAAGGAGTCCCTTGAAAACACCACTATTAATGAAACATACTAGGTTAAGAATTGGTGCAAACTGCGAAATCAAACCTTTTGATCGTTTCCGGGTGTTCAGTGAGCTGGTGTACTTGAAAGATTTGCTTAATACCTTGATAGCCTTGAGTATGGAGTTTTTGACGAATGAGGGCTTCAATCTGAAGAAACAAGGATGATTAATGGAAAACAAAGGGAATGCGGTAGTAAAGACAAAACATACAAACTTCAGTGGCTCCCCATTTATGTCGAGGTAAACTAGAAAAGGTGGGTTGAAGTGGAGATTTGACTAATCCCCGCTTTTCTTTTTCCGGCTTTGTTAAGTGATCTAAAATTCAGCAGAATTAAAATAAAACTGAACCAAAATACTTATGGCTAAAATGATTTCCAATTAACAAAGTCGAATGATGGATCGAGAAGAAGGATTTATGAAAAATATATTAAGATCCAGCATACCTGGTGGCCATTTCAACAGAAACTGTTTTGGAGTTGGTCTACCAGCAATTAGCTCATCGATGAGCTCTTTATTGGACCTAGGAGACCTCGCATTTCTTGACAGGCATGGTTTGATCTCTGGAAGTGTGGCTGCTCTGGATTCAAGTGTAAGATGTTGTCCCGAAACAGAAATATTATCAGCAACCATTTTCAAAAAGCTGCACAGAAAATGACTTCAATGTTTCAAAATAATTTGATTTATTAATCATGCTTAGCATGTCTGAAATTCACGAGAAAACGAAAATTCCGAAATTCCTAATTGACATTAATTGACGTTTTTTTTTGCCTTCTGATGTTTAGGTTTTTGCCTTCTGATTTCTACATTTTGAAAGAGAAAAATCTAATTTTTTTCAATTATATCTCCGGGTGAAGGCTTTTTTGCCCCCCATTGAGTAAAACCAAGTCATGAGTCAACAACAACTGACGGAATCTCAGCTACCAATTACTCACGAAGTGCTGATTGAAACGGAGACAAATTTCAGAAGTGCGCTAACAGCAAACAAATCGGCGACAGAAAAAAAACAAATCCAAATAATCAAAATCATCCCCCCATTCTCGAGAGAAATTGTAAAGTCTACTTAACAGGACGGTATTTCCCATGGGATGCTTTCCAAGGTCTCATAGACCCAAGAACATTTACCCTAAACTAGCAAAAATCAAATTGTCGAACTTGCCTTATGAATGCAACGATATCGAAGCGAAATTAATTCTCCAATTGCCAGAAGACATAATTCATAGCCCCATATTCCAACGTGAGACCTGTATCGTAACTGAACCGGGTCAGTATAATTACACAGGAAGAGCAATTTTAGAAGTTAAAATACAAAACGAAGAACAAGAGAAAAAGCTGAAGGACTGGTCTTAGAAATCGGGAATGGATGGCTTCAAAATGTGGGAAGGTGTAGAAATCTCGTTTCACATACCTTCACTATATGAATGTCAAAAATGCAAGATGTCTGGACGCCAAGAAAAAGGTCATCACGATGATTGGTGCAACATAGGCAACCAAATAACCAAAAATCCAAATAATCACTACCCACAAAAACCAAGCTCCTATAATGTCAGCAACGAGAAAAACAATGACGAAACAAAAAGCGATAAGTTTTGTAATGGTACCGAACATGAAGAAGATAAGAATGTTGAAGCACCACCATCTAGAGTTTTGACTGATGAATCTAAAACAAACAGTGCAGCAACTCCAAGTGAAGATCGTAGATTTTCATTCTTACTCTGCAAAAGAAAAAAAGACAATTTAAATATCGAAAATAACAAACGAAAATGTTCCTCTGACGGAAGAATGCTTACAAAAAGAGAGCGTGAAACTTCACCAACCTCTTGGTCAGTTTTAACGAGGAAGAAAGGGCCAAAAATGAAATCTAAAAATAACGGAGAAGACTTGGTTGGAGGGAAGTTTTTGTGCCAGTCGGTCATATTTGGAAGTTTGACCTTGAGAAGAGCAGAAAATACTTGATTTTGAAGTGAAATTTAATTTTTCAAAATTTCGAATGGAACATGTCATGCACGATTTTCTCGCGATAACTGAAAATCAGAAAAAGAAATCAGAACAATTTTAGAACAATTGCGGGAAAGTAGTCAGATAAAAACGAGTGGGAAATTGCTATTCGCAATTTCCATCATAGTGAACAAGAGTAGAGCTGTCCTATTCGAAACAGAAACCAGCGTATTCCCACGAGTTGGATAGTCGTGTCTGGAGTTCTTCTATTCTAAAGCTGGACCAGAGTGAACCTTCAGCGGAAAGGCGGACAACTAGAGTGTCCCAACGGTCCATGAGAACTCAAATTCTAGAGCATAGACTTATCCTTGTCGTACAAACTATAAAACATTAAACTTCTTTTAGTTATTTATTTCTTGAGTTAGTTACCAACTGGATCATTTCCCAATTCTTGAGCGTGCTGCTATGTGAGTACAAATTTAAATTCTAGAGTGTGTTTTGTAATTGTTATGTTGAGGTGAGGCGAGTTTTAGGTTGATCCATCTGAAATGGATCAAAGTTCCACTCTCTAATAAAAAGTAACTTAACGGATTGTTCCAACCCGGTTTTTAACGGCGTTCATGTATTTTGGGTATTTAGAGACCTAAGTATGGGGACGTTTCTAATTCTAGAGTGGGGGGATATTTTAGTAGTAGCCTTTAAGCTGTAACGGGTCGTAGTCTCGTGTCACAAGCGAACCGAACTGGCTCCGACCGTTCTTGAGGTGGAAAAACACAAGAGATAGTGTCCCTGACCCTTGAGCCAGTGGTTATAGGGCCTATTTTTCTTGAGCCTCATGTGTGACTGTAGTAGACGAATGTTACATAGTGTTTTTATGGCGCTCCTGGGTGTTTACGACATCAAGACTACGGAGTCGAACCCACTTGAGACAGCTTCGGGCTGAATGCCCATTCTAGAGTACCGGCGGTACGGTTCGACAGGAACGTGCAAACCTTCCGGTTGTACCGTGATAGCTTTTTAAGAAAACTCGAGAAAATTTCCTGGTGCGCTCTCCGAACGAGGCTTAGCTAACCGAGTAAAGGGGGGCAACTAGGGGGACAAAAACACGAGCAAAAAGACAAAAAGCAAAACAAAAACCAAAAAAGAATAGAAAAAGGAACAAAAACCATAAAACGAAAAAAGACAGTGACTTTGACACCAGATTAGTTGGATCAAACCTTTATATTAATTAAATAGTATACCCATACTGTTTTACAAGTTCGATCGTTTCGATCAACCTAGCAATTTAAACCAGTAAACTGAATAAAGTGCCCGAAGTGGGGCGTTGTCAAGGGTTTTCAGATAGCTTGGAACTTAGCTGGACCAATAGGAAACTTGACTGGAAGAGGTGACCAGCCGAGTGGGAAAGTGGTTCAGGGACACTTGAGCTGAACCAATAGGAGACTTGACTGGAAGAGGTGACCAGCCGAGTGGGAAAGTGGTTCAGGGACACTTGGCTGAACCAATAGGAGACTGGACTGGAACAGGTGACCAGTCGAGTGGGAAAGCAGCCAAGAAGGATTTGGCAATTCTCGAGTTCTCGAGTTGGGCAGAACGGGTATCGTTAGAATCCACATTACATTATAAGAGATAAGTGTAAAATTGGATAAGCGAAATCCCCCAGTTTTGAGGAACGTTTTTACTTGAGCAGGCCTGGAAACAGGTCTACGGTTTTCTCTTGAGAAGTTTAGCACCCGGCGCTTAAAGAAATTTTTAGGCTTAAGAAGGGGGGCTAGAAAGGGGGGAGGTTAGAAGGGGGGCTGGTTAAGTTAGAGGTTGGCGGTTGTAAATTGTAAAAAGGGGGAAATTAGAGTAACTAATTAGTCGACATCGTTGACTTAGTTACATTAGAAATTAACACGCGTTGGTAATATTAGGTGGGGATCCAAAATTCAACTCGAGTTAAGACTGGTACGCTGGTTGGTTTGGTAGGGGGGACCGGATATAGACAGCTTTTGTGATACCCCATAAGATCACTAGTGGGGGGAGGAAAACGCGTGGCAATTAGGTACCAGACATTTTTTTTTAGACGAAAGGTAGACATTGGTCACCTTTGAATTTCAGGTGGGCTCATTTTTCTGTTTTTATTATTTTTCTTACTTAGATTTTTGTTGCATTTTAGTGAGGATTTGTGTTTGGTTTTATACGAACAGGTGATCACAAGATACCTGCGCACCTACATTGAAATAGAAACAACCAAAAAGAAGAGGGGGTCAGCATTTGGCTTTTAAGAGAGGGTTTTTGGGAAAATTTTACTAGAGCTTGAGTGGTGGTACAAAGTACGGTGATTCAAGAAGACCCTACAACGAGGAAGACACTCCGTGACGAGTATTGGGACAAGACCGAAGAAGTCTTGGGACAGAGCAGTCTTGGGATAGTGGTCTTGGGACAGGGTCTTGGGACAGTGGTCTTGGGACAGGGTCTTGGGACAGTGGTCTTGGGACAGGGTCTTGGGACAGTGGTCTTGGGACAGTGGTCTTGGGACAGTGGTCTTGGGACAGGGTCTTGGGACAGGGGTCTTGGGACGGGGGTCTTGGGACAGGGTCTTGGGACAGTGGTCTTGGGACAGTGGTCTTGGGACACTAGTCTTGGGACACTAGTCTTGGGACACCAGCCTTGGGACACTGGTCTTGGGACACTACCCTTGGGACACTAGTCTTGGGACAGTAGTCTTGGGACACTAGTCTTGGGACACTAGTCTTGGGACACCAGCCTTGGGACACTGGTCTTGGGACACTACCCTTGGGACACTAGTCTTGGGACAGTAGTCTTGGGACACTAGCCTTGGGACACTAGTCTTGGGACAGTGGTCTTGGGACACTAGCCTTGGGACACTGGTCTTGGGACACTACCCTTGGGACAGTAGTCTTGGGACACTAGTCTTGGGACAGTAGTCTTGGAACAGTGGCCTTGGTACAAGGGTCTTAGGACACTAGCGGAGAGTACTGTGATAGTGACGAATAGTCTTGGGACGGTATAGAAATTGAAGTCAAATTACAACAAGTGCGTTTTAAGACAGAATAAGACAAATCGAAATAGGTAGGGTTAAGACCAAATTAAGGAAAATTTTTCGGAGGTTTTAGAAAGAGAATTGGATAAGGTTTTTAACACGTTGTACAGAGTTTGTTACCACAAAAAATATTTTTTTTTACCCTTAGAATAGAATCGTGTATATAATAAAATTGTAAATAAAAGCAGTTGTAAATAGAAATAATGAGGCGGAGTAGGGTACCGGTGCTCGAAAAAAGGTCAAGTGGATCAAACACGAAGTATAATTCATCGCTGCGCGGAACGACATCAACGGGCCCAAAGATAACGAAGACGAATTTTTCAGTTAACATGGTCAGCACAAGGAGTACAGCGGAGAACAGGGCGAAAGAGGGCACGGAAGGGGAGCGAGTAGACCCCACCATCGAGATTGATCTAGAGACACCCGATCAAAGTGTGGATGAAACAGGGAAGATGGCGACAGAGTCAACTCCAATGCCCAATGCAGAGGAACCAAACCAGAAACCCATAGAGTTCTCACCGATAGATGACGCGGAAGATGCAATAGGCAACACCGAAGAAACGGTGAAAGAAGACTCTCAAGTAAAGAGGACATCTTTTACGGAAAAATTGGGAATAATGTTCGGAATAAAAACGAAAGAAAACGTGACTGAAGAACCAAAAGCAGAAAGA